TTAAGTACACCAAAACACCTTTCTATTATGCACCGCCCTTTCGCAAAATTTTCGTTAAAATTAAGTTAAGAGTTAAAATCCAAGGCTCTAATGGATAGCCCGAGTCTCCTAAAAACAAAAATTTTATAATGCAAATATATGTACATGCAAAATGACGTGCATTTCAAATATAATTTTTACCTAAAATCCGCGTTCCTTTTTCTCCATTTTCAAAGTTTCTTTTCAAATATCTCCTTTCTCCCGAAATATTCCATATATGGGAGTCATGGTAAGCACCTCCGTATCGTCCGTCCACCGCTCGTATCTTCATATTATGGTAACATATCTTAAGTTGTAAAATGTTTCATATAAAATTTTATTTTTATATACTTACGTACATATGAAGACATGAATGGATGAAGGAGATATGTCGCAAAATTAAGTTTAAAGTTTATTTACGGCTAAGAAATGTTTAAATGCATATAGCATCTTCATGCATTCATGCTTTCATAAGTTCTATTAGTAAAGTACCTACCACCATAGCATTCAAACTATGTTTCAATTTCCTATTGAAATCCAAATGTTCATTTTCAACCGGACGAATCATCTGGATATGTGTGCCATCTACGGCTCCTACAACACCCGGAATGCTACATGTGCGAAAAAATGTCGTTTTGCATCTCTTTTTTCATTCTCCGTCATTGCGAAAGCAATGTGTTTTGGACATAGAACTTTTTCAATTGCCCCGCAAACTTCCCACAAATATTTTTATACTGTCTGCTGTGCGAACCCTATTTGAAAATCCTGCCCAATTTGATGCTGGTAACCACCTTGAGCCAGGAATTTCAAAGAAGCTGCCAGCTTCAGGACCGATGGTATTGCGGTACAGCGTTGAGGCGCTTTTAGCTCCGAGTCAATGTTATCCCAACACGTATAACAACACGTATTTATTTAGGCGAAAGTTTTGGACAAATCTGTTAAAAACACTTAATTTAGCGTTATTTTTAAGAAATACATGCACACATTTTCTCACGTTTTGTCATTAAGACTCGGGATATCCGATTGATTCCTTAGATACCTTCGCTGAATTTTCGCTTCATTTTCATCCTCCTCAAACCACAAACCCACTGAATCCATTTTATAAAATATTATATTAAGTTATTATAATGCTTCATAAATACAAATTTACCGATATTTTATTTCATTTTAAATTTTTGACATTTCAAGTGTCATTTATGTAAATTTCGAACATATTGTTGCCACATTTTCATACTCATTTGCGAAAGCGAATGCGCAAGTGTTGCGTGGTATCAATATCAGTTCGGATCGCATCTGGCTTTCGAATCGCATTGTTTTTCGATTCGCAATACATAGTAAGGCCCCTGGATCGCGGATCGCAAAACCGTCAATAAATATTGAACGTGTAACATTTTCAAAACGCGATCCATACATTTCGTTAGTACATATTTTACTCTCATAATGCGAACATCGAAAACGTATTCACTCTGCCTCCGTTCTATGTGCTTGAAACCTTTCAAAACAAATTGAAAGTCGTGATACAAAAAAGAAGGTAGTTTCAATAAACAAATTTTTGATTAAAAAGCAGATTTTTGACAATAGCTCAATTGGGGAAAATTCGAAGCGGCGGTACCCAATCTAAGTTTTTTGGTGGAGGGGATTTTATATCATACATTTGGGATTATAAATAAAATAGTTATGTTAGCATTTACCTTTTAAAAATAAATAATATCTTGTCTTAAAAATGCTTATATTTTTTTAAGTGAAACCTCTTTAGTGGCGGTTGGTTGGTTGGGAGTAAATTGCCAAATTCAACGCACTTTTTCAAAGTAATGACATGTCCTATTTAACATTGCTTACATTATATTTTAATACAGAAGTTTGATTTTCAGTATTTTTAATTAGTTTGAAAAAACTTTTATTACTGGAAATAATCATAACGCGAAATAATCTCCTGAGTTTTGGTCAGTGCATGCATCGGAAACAGAAACTTTTTCTAGAACGTAAAACCGTGGCGAAGGGTGGCATCGCCGCAAAAAGTTGTTGTTGTAGGAAGCAATTCCCAGTTTCTATAATCTTGTATTGAATTTACAAGAACTTATTTTTGCAAAATCTCAAATTTCCAGAAAGGATAACAAGAAATTAAAAAGAAGCAGCTTATAAAAACTATTAAAAACGAAATTACTTATGTAAGTCGGAAGATGGAATTTTGATGGATCAAACCAAAAATTTAATATTTCTCGTGGTGAATACAAACATTAGAATTTTACCTAGCTCATGGGGCTGGTAAAATTTTGACAGCTTCTAAATATATATATATATATATATACATAATAGGTTTGTTCCACACTCTTCTTGTATAAAAACTCGAACAAAGTTCAAACTGTGAGCGTATATCAAATAAACTCTAAAAGTTACTTGTGGAACGCGTGTGTATGTGCAACTCGAAGTGACTTCGACTAGCTTGTGGAACAAACCTAATATTGTCTGGCGGTAATAAAGAGTCAATTATAAAATAATTTACAAACGTTCTCTGTTTCAAGTAACTTGAAAGTGGAATTTACTTTGGTACCCAAGGGCCTCATGACTTTCAAAGACGTATAACTAAAATATATTTTACTGTTCTATATTGAGGGGCCGCTGTGGTGTAGTGGTAAGCAGTGCGCGCTTCCACTTCACGGCACCTGGGTTGAAGCCCTGGTCAAAGCAACATCGCAAAAAAATAAAAAATATAGAAGAAATGTTTTTTCCTTAACGGCGGTTGTCCCTCGGCAGGCAATGGCAAACCTCCAAACTTTAAATCTTCTTGTCACGCTTTTCCTTTCCGCCCCCTTTTGACGGGGAAAATGTAAACTCAGGTTACGCCAACCAGTGGATGTTTGCACAACATACTTTTCCGCATTGTAAGCCTTCGCGCAGTATTTTTTACAAAAAATTTCATATTTCAAACCGAATCTATTAATAAATTTGTCTTTATTTTAAATTAACGTTTTAGCGTTTGACCATACGTGCATGTTAAAATTCAGGTTACGCATTTCGACCCAATAACCAAAAATTATTGTACAAATAATCGAACCGTATCCAACAAAATACCTTTTGCTAGTTCAAATTTCGATTCTAAGAGCTTGTGTGAATCGGTAACAAAGTTCGCGGCGAGTAAATTTTTGACAACTACGAGGTGAATAAAATTTCAGTAGCTCATGAGGCTAGTGAAATTTTTGACAAATGCATAGAAAATTTTGACAATCGCAAAGATTGTTGATGTGTGTAATTTTTCGTTGAATAAAAGCTAAAATTGATGAATTGCAATCAACGATGGTAGATGTTTTCTTAAAATATTAATTTCACTTCAATTTGTAATATTTTATTCCGCATAAACCTGCGGTTATCAAAAATTTACTGCTGTCAAAAAGGATTTCATTTCACACAGCAGACTGGCAAAACTGTCTCACCATTGTAAAAAATTATTCAACAGCTTTTCCCATAGAACTTTGTTACCGATTCACACACGCCCTAAGAACAAAATGTTTTTACATAAACAAAAAATTAATTATTAATAAAATGTCACAATCTGCTTAATTGTCAGGTTGTTATTATGGTGACGAAAAATTGACAATGGAACTACCTTATTTTTTGTATCATGTTGAAAATATTTAAATTATCATTGGAAAAAAAAAATATTATGGAAAGTATTATCTGTAAATTATTCGTACAAAATAAAACTTATTTTTTGCGCCATCATCAATATGGATCGCGATCCAAACATCGTGATAATTACTGGCCGTGTGACAGGGCCCTTAGAGAGAGCAGATAAAAGTTCATTTGAATTTTGCACTTGATAGTATAATACGCGAACACACCTATTGTCTGGCGAGGGGCGACGCTTTTTGAAAAAAAAAGTTTGTTTGATGTTGCTCGGACCAGAAATTGAACCACCTTCCGAGCGGCGGTAGGCGCAAGAAAGTCAGAAAAAATGAAATAATTTGTTAAAATGAGACCAAACGTGAATTCTTCACTGTTCTTTATTTGTTTTACTTTTGATCTAAAAAAACCTTTGAACTTATTATGCTTTGCACTTTTCTAAATATAAGTTATCTTTACTGTTAATAGCTTTATTGTAATTTTTGGTGAAGACTTCATACCAACATAAGCATTTTCACTGCAATTTTGCAATTTGCAATTTTTCGAATAACTCGAAAACCGGGTTTGAAAAAGAGCCGAATAATCGAACACCCTAATAGATACATGTGTACATTTTTTTTAACTTATTTAAATTTTTCTACTTTTCGTAATTTTTCTTTTTCTAATTATTTATGTTTGAGTCTTCGCTTTCCATAAATTACATGCCATTTTCTACATCATCCTTCGCTGTTCTTGGCGCGTGGTTGGCCTTGGGCAAAAACAAACCCAAAATTCCTGCAACAATAAGCGCCACTGATGGGCTGAAAAGTGCCCATTCGCAATGTGTCTCGATGAGTGCGCCTAAAATGCTGGATCCAGTGACGCTGCCAATGCGACCGATCATGAGAGAAATACAAACAGCCATAGCTCTGGAAGAGAAAAATTTCACAGTTAATTCCTATTATCGTCAGCTGTCATAGTCCAATATGCACAATGCAAACTTTTTTCTAATCTTTGAGAAATTCTTGATTCACAAGTGGATATACAACATTTTTCTCCAACATTTTCCCCATGTTTTGACTAAAAGTTGAATAAAGTCTGAATCCAAATTGATATCTAAGCTTTTCTCAAAAGTTGAATAAAGTCTGAATCCAAACTGCTATCTAAGCTTTCCTCAAGTGGAGAACTCAGATTATTTTGTATACAAAAAATGTGCCCTTTAGTTAGAGAATGGGTTGGTTATCCAATTGAGGTACACTTGAAAATCAACACTGGACCTTGCAATTTGTATTGGATCTCCACTTGATCTCATATTCAATATATATACATATATATTTCAAAAGTTATTAATTTTAATGTATCTATGAGCATACGTACATACCTCAAATTCGTTGGAAATATTTCCACAACAATCGCATTGACCACCGTAATGCATAGGCCACAGCAAAGCGTAACCACAAAGAGGTATATCGCCAGAAGAGGCACTTTGATAGAGAAAGCCACTACGCCACAAGCTCCACATATGAAGAGAATTGCAACTGCAATCAAAAACGTGAGAACAATCAAATATTTCGTCTACATACATACATATGTACAAGACAAAACTGCTTACAAAGGACAGGCTTGCGGCCGAATTTGCTAATAGCGTACATAACAACCGATAGGAGGGATGCATAAATAAATTCAAGCACTAAAGTGTGTTTGTATGTAGAAATTTCCAAATGCATAACACAGCCTTCATCCTGTCGATGAGTTGTAGAAAAATACATACATAAATATAAGCCTTAAAAGTCTATAGATTACATTACTTACATTTTCATTTGTAACGGTAAAATTTGCTGATTGTGTAATTTTGATAATGTTACAAAGGCTTTCCGGTTCCGAAGATTTCTCTGTGTATTGCATTGTAAGATTAAGGATGTACGGGAACCACATATATATGCCATGGGCACTAAAGAATATGATGTACAATATGAGACTAGATAAGAATGTTTTCCGGATGTGTTCCCTCATAAATAGTGGTGCCGTTTGTTTCCACATGGATTTCATTATAGACACAAGTATATTTCCTTTTTCGATTCCTTGTTTTTTCGCTACCGGTGTATCGGCATCTGGTAGCAAGAAAATGTCCTGCAAATAATGAGGTAAAGAAAAATACTTAATGAGATGACAAAGGACACAGATTCTTTTGACCGTTTTCGGTAGGTCTGCGGTAGGTATTTCGTTATCATCTATCTCTCTTGCTAGAAAAAAACTTTATCAAACATACGAGTAGAATATGGTCCGCAGATCCCCCTTGCTTGTCCTACATTAGATACGACATCTAACTCACAATTTCTACTTGTGCGAGCATTTGTTCGACTTGTAATCAGGGTTAGCATAAGCCACTGCACGTTCCCAGACGTACGCTAACAGCTTCTGTCTACAGTTGAATGAGTTTTGTCGTAGCTTCCGCGGTGTACAGAAAAGCGGAACATTATGTACTGGGCTTTCTTGAGTGTCTGTCTGAACTAAGTACGGCTAGCTTCGATTTGTGACCTTCATTAGAAATACGAATTGCTTTCTTTTCTACAGAAAGAAATAATATAAAGAGCCTCTCTAATGTATCTCAAAGCACGCATGGTGGCTAAATGTGCATCCTTCCAACGTTAGATGAGAGCAGCCACGATATCCTGCCTACCTTCCTACCTAAACTTAAAATTATGTTGTTTTTGCTGTTATAACAATAACACTTACCTGAAAAGCTGGTTCCATTTGCTTGTTCTTCCAATTTATCCGGTACATTCGCTCCAGCACCTCAACAGCTTCTTCAGCTTTTCCCGAAGCGAGTAAAAACTTTGGACTCTCCGGCAAAAAGAACATCGCTATGCCACATAGAAAACCAGGCAAACCACAAGCGAGAAAATAAGAACGCCATGGCTTGAAAGCAATATTGATTAACGGCACGCAGAACTCCCAGTCTTGGTTGATGAAAATAAATGCGATGATGGGAAAGAATATAGAGGCAGTCGCAGTTATTAAACCACTACCAAGTATTGCTCGATTACGATATTTATGACACTGGAACTCGCCAATGTAAGCGAAAATCGTTGCGGAACCAGCCGAAATACTATTAAAATTTTAATTAGGATAATATTTTTAGGAAACGAGAGAGGACAAACACTGGATAATAAATTCACACCCAGAAAAAAGTCAGCTAAAAGTATTTCCCTCAACACATGATTTAGTAGCTTTAACTAGATAGTGTAACTATAACCAAATTATGTGTTGAGGGAATTATATTTAGCTAACATTTTTGTGGGTGCATGATAATGTACATATATACAATAGCGGAAAATTAATAGAAACGCGTTATTTTAACAAGCTTTGGCTATTTTTATTTTGTGTATTTAACGTTTATTATTTTTTTTTTAAGAATAGCTCACAAAACCCACATAAGTCTCAATTTCAAACTATAAAAAAATTAGCAAAAGCCGACAAATTTTCGCCTAAAATTTAAAATTTTTAAGTCCGAATTTTCTTGTTACGCAGTTTTGTCGCTCAATAAATTTTAGTGTAATAAAGTGCATGATTGAAGCATCTAGGACTACCGCTGATTTTTTATTTTTTTTTGTTGACGGTGTCTTGCATTTTCCTTCATACAACGTATGTATGTGTTTTTATATGCAGGAAAATGCACAACACCAAAAAAAAAAAAATATTGGCCTACAAAACAGTAAGCTAGAATTTCTTAAATTCTGAATAAAAAGTTTGAAATTTTAATGAATTGTTATAAATCTTGTAAAAAGTGTGACTAACATAAATGGTTTTTTCTTAGATAAAAATAAAAATCTTTAAATTAATAAGAGAAAAAACCAAAAACGCGTTAAAATATCGCGTCCATAATTATTTGACCGCCAACGTATGTAATGCATCATACTTACAATATTCCATTTAAAAATCGCAAAATGGCGAATGTTATAAAATTAGGTGACAGACTTGAGCATATAGTGGCAATATATCCAAGTAAAAGGGCCGGTTGCATTATACGCTTGCGACCCGTTGTATCTGCTAAAAATCCCCAAAAGTGTGAACTCGCAATGACGCCGGCAAAGGACACAGCCCCCAATACGCCTTGCTCCTGGTGTGACAAATTCAAATCGCATCCTATAACTGGTAGGGCAAAACTCATACCAACTGATTCGAGTACAACATTTATAAGCACCATCCCAGAAAATAGAATCATCCACATGTTGAATTTTCCAAATCCTGGAAAAAGTTAAAAATATTTCTATGTTGGTATACCCTTAATTGTTTTATCAGATTCGAGTAGGGTATGATGAAAGTCATCGATCGTGGATATTGGAAGCTGATCTCACTAAGATATTAAAACTCGGCTTAATTTATTTTTACTCACCCGTCCTTTCCAGCGCTTCATCTATACTTAATATTTTTCTCTTCTCGCTTATCGACATTTTGTAGGCAGTTTTAAGTAAAGGTGATCCTCACAATTAATACAAACACTGGACTTCCGATGCTCTTTGTCTACGAGTACACTTTCAGGAATATCGCTAACATGAATCTACTCTCGTGAAGAGATAACCAACCCCATCGTTTACCGCTAGCAAGTGTTCGCGCTAACGATCTGGTTTTATTTAAATATCAAAAATTCTCAAAAGATAGTAGCAGTGGTTTTATAATTTAGGGTCAGAAAACGTTTATCTACATATGGGTACAAGCACGTATGATTATTTGAACCCTAAATCTTAAGTGCAAATAAACATGCATGCACATTAGACCGTCTCGGTCACCAGATAACAAAACAATATGCAATACATACATATGTGTGTATATGTACATATATCGTCTCCATCAACGCAAGCAGCTAACTGGGATATATACGGGACAGATGAAAGTTAGGAAAGTAGAATATTAAGCTTAGTATCCAGCTCTAAAGAGAGAAAAACTGAGTGCGTGTGGTTCCTAAGCGCTCAAAGAGTGAAACTTTATAGAAAAATTCCAGAAAAGAAGTTTGCAATATTTTTTCTTATATAACTATATACTATAAATTTAGTTGTAGTTTATTTTTATTCCCTTTGCTTATAATAAACTGCTTAGTTTATTTATTATTATTTGAAAAATTATCTGTCATAATCTCAATCTCAATTCTTATCTTTATCTTCGGTTCATCCTTATCTTCCTTATATCTATCTCTATCTCTATCTCTATCTCTATCTCTATCTCTATCTCTAT